AGTTGATTTAATTTTTATCTTCGAAGTGTGAATTTGTCCGTTTAAGGGTGGTTTAGGTCGATTTAAAAAAAAACTGAGGGTGATTGAGCAATTCTGAGCTCAGATTCGGTTTCAGCGGGCCAAAATACTATAGGAAATATATGTCTAGTTCAAGAAACAGACAACTTTTTTTTTGTGTGCCTGTGTTATTATAAAAAAAATATAATACTGCTTGTCAAAATGAATAAGAGTCATATGTAAAATACTGTACAAAAAATGTGAGGTTATTTTTTAAACTTGTTTTTGACATTAAAATAATTACTTAAAGTAACGCTTGTTTTGATCTTTCAAATTTAATGTTTTTTTGTTATTAAAAAGCTTCGTAAAATCGACAAATCAATAAAATTGTACCACATCTACTAGTTAACGTAACCTCTTTTTGAAGTATAATACAGTTGCAAATAATTATAGACATTGAATTTTACTTACTCTGAACGGGATCTGGAATATTTTCAATTTTTTTAAATGCACGATGCAACTTAACACGTTGAGTAGGTACTGTTCTTATTCAGGCCCTTTTCAGGGCCAGAATATTTTATTAGTATGGACCGGATTAGGAAAACCTGATCAGGACCTGATAGGTAACTTGGATATAAAGTGGAAATTTCTACACGGGATATTTTCTTTCGACAATTTTTTTTCCACACTTTTTTTTTATGATTTTTAAGAATCTCTCGCATGGATTTTCAAAAATTTTAATTTAAAAAAAAAGAAAGAAAAAGATGAGTTAAAACTTCATGACACTCTTATTTTAACCCTCACATACCTGAGTTCATTTTTTGACGTGCGCGTGCCTGAGGTGGATCCGAGGGACCCAGCTGCTTTAATTCAATAAAAAAAAAAAAAGATTTTAATAGCAGAATATTCAATATTTTATGCTCACATATTGTTTAAAATGTACGTTATAGCATCAGCTTATCTAATTGGATAACGATTTTGAAACAATATTTTCTTAATTAAAAGTTGATGAAAAAGCAAATTGTCTGTGTCCAAGGGATCCAGCTCAGGCACGCAAGGGTTAAGTATTTATTTCATTTCTCTCACAATTTTGACTATTCTTCATCGACAAATTTTTTTACGCTTTTTTTAATGATTCTTCAAACTTTCTTGCATGGATTTTCAAAAATTTTATTTTTTCAAATAAAAAAAAATTTAAAAATGGTAAAATTAATGCAAGAAAAATAATATATTCTTCTTTGTCAATTTAAATTTAAGTAATAGGTCAAAATTGGTAATGGTACCTCCCTTTAAGAAAAATTTATAATTAAATAAAAGTTTTGTTAAATAAAAATTTTGCTTAATAAAAAATATAATGAAAATTTAAGTAATTAAAAGTATTTACTATTTTTAAATGAAAATTTATTTTTACAAAAAATTTCTCATTAAATAAATTTTCAACGATATTTAATATTTGTTTTTCTTATTCATAATTACAAAACACTGTATTAAATTCCGAATAAATTTTGTTGAAATATTTGAGTGATTAATGAGAATTGGAAAAGCTTGACAATCAATAAATTTCGGAAATGTAAATGAAAGAACAATAATTTTTTGAAATCGTAAAACTGCATCAGATTTATAAGAATATATATATATATATTTATTTATTTATTTAAAAAAATGATTTATTGATGGGTATAGCTTAATAAACAGTAGTGTCATAGAAAATATAAATATTAAAGTTTCGTTTGGAAAGGTTTGAATTGACGATGTTTTGTAATCGATATATATGTGCACGATGACCAGGTCTGTTGGGTATACAACAATAGTTTGATTTTCTAGATCTCGTGACATAAAGAGCCACACGTGAATCTCTCATTGGCGTGTGTTTTGTGCTCGTGTCGTACATATACGTGTGTGTGTGTGTTTATATCTACATTGGTATAATGTATATATGTATGTGGGTTTTGAACTGACGATGAGTATGGACAACAATGCGATAGAGACAAAGCCCACGTACAATGACGATGTTGAACTCGACTGATTTCCACGATTTTTGGCCTTTCCATGTGCATTACGAGTTGCTCGACGATGATTCTCACATTTATAATCATTGGGAATAGTCACGGGACTCCGGACTATACTTTCCCAGTGATTCTCATCAGTCCTCGTGCGAAGGCTTTTGATCCTCCCACAATGCAAGAGTGCAGGTGTTTCTCATTTTCTCTCAGCTTTTATTTGCGCACTTCTCTCATATCTCTCTATTTCTTGTGAATTTGATGATGGTACACGAATTTGTAAATCTTCTTCGTCTTTTATCATTTTTATCATATACAGTCGAACCTGGATAAGCGATAATTCAAGGGACGGACAATTTTCTGTCACTTATAGAGGTTTCTCATTTATTCAGTTTCTCACTTACAAAGATCCAGGGGCGATTTTTCTCGCTTATAGAGGTTTACGAATTAATAAATTTTTTTATTTCAAATTAAACAGGGCAAAAGAATTATTATACATGATTATTCTATACATGAGAATAAGTTGTATTTTATAAAAAAAAAATACCTTTTTTATCAAACTATATATTGTTAGAAAAAATAAACATTTTTTATTTATACCTTCATATGAAATTTCAATTGAGGATTATTACTGATAATAATATATTAACATATATTATGTGCATATTCAATTTGTAAAATTTTATATTCATAACACCCATTTTAATAAATATTAATTGATAAAATCTATTTTATAATTAATTTTTGTGATTTTTTCAATGGGTCAATTTTCTTCAATTTTTTTTTTGCACTTCACTTGTTCAAATAATTATATTTTTTTTAAATAATGCAAAAACCAATATTTTTATCTAAAAGTGTATCTATTCACCTTTCAAAATCTGATTGATATTTTTAAAATATTCAAATTTTCGAAAAACTACAACATTTTTTTAAAAAAAAAAAGACAAATTTGGCTAATTTTTTGTTTTTTTTTCCTTTTTGAAAGTTTTTTTGACTTTTTTTATTTTATCAAAAAATCAGTAAAACTATTGTTTTCTTTACTAAAAAACCAATAAAAATCTACACAAGTTTCAAGTTGGGGGGGGGGGTGTCTGGACACCCCAGTTACCCTTTAGAGGGTGAGAAAATTCATATAATCCTTCTAGGGTTAAAAATGATAATTTTAGATTATTTTTGTTTAAAAAAATTTGTCATTTTTGTTTGTCACTAAGTGAGAGCACTTTACTTTTTATTTTAGACATTTTTCAACTTTTCAAAATTTATTTGAATTTAATAACGAGAAAATTTACTGTTTTCAGTGTATTCACTGGGAGCATAACTGCGGTATTGCCCAATTCTAATTATCTTTATTATTTCGTTTGAAAAGTATACAAATATCAATGGAACTAAAAACAAAAGATGTTTTAATAAAATTTTAGGAATATATATATATATATATATATATATATATATATGAAAATATACAGTTATTTGGTGTAGAAAAAAATGTTTGTATGGCCTTTGTTTCGTTTCCAACTTTTGTATTAAAAAATTAAGGTCCCTAAAAAAAATTTGATTAATGAATAAAAAAAATATTTCAATAACAAAAGATTATATATAAAAATATTTTTACAAAAACATATTGTATAATCTTCGAGAGGATATTGCAGGAATATTATTTTCTATTAAAATAACTAAAAAGAAAGAATTAAAATTTTTACATTAAGGTCGCGGGATTTAGTTTTGCTTTTTTTTTGTAGAAAAATTGAAAAGAAATTTTGAACAATAATCGAAGTAGTGATGTGTAAATATTGGTGAGGAAACATTTTCAATGTATTCTTTAAGTTGAGAGGTGGCGTTTGAAAGCGCAGAGGCAGAGAGTACATTAATATCACTCCACCCACTGAATTAGAGGGTTTGAAAAGGGCTTTGTCATCGGCGAATAGTAGTTTTCGCCGGGCGCGCGAAGTTTTGAAAAGTCTCGCGACTTTTGCCGATCGATTGAGCACCTCTGGCCGCACCTGAATAGATACATTGTGCCGGAGCAGCCTATTGACGGCCGATTGTTCCCTCAACAATAACAACAATATCTGAATAGTCGTACACATCTCGTACGCATGTGTATATAGTATACATACATGTATATCCATATTGGTGTGAAAATGCAAAAGTGTATATATATATATACTTGCATGCGCTTGTACAATATTATAAAGGAGTATTCATTCACTCGCATACAAACATACATATACATATGCAAAACTGATAGAAAAATCGTCCTACGGGATTGTGGACCGAATCAACCACAGTAACATGCTGGGTGTTATGCTCAAGCTGAAACAATACTCACTAGAGCGAATAGATGTACCATAGTGTTGACAAAGGTTGACAAATACTTCTCTGAAACCTCTTATTTAAAGTACTGATTATATTTTGCAAGAATTTTGCACTTTTATTCATATATATTTGAATAGGTCTATATTAATGTTTTACAAAAATTCACAGTTAAACTAAGTCAAAAAATTTGTAGTTTACGTTTAGTGATTTTTTATTTTCTGTTTGACGTATTGCTTAAGTTAGCGATTGGAATATTCCTAACGTGAAAATGTTGCAACTGAAGAATTTTAACCTATTTCGTCTACTAAACACAAAACGCATGCGCAGATCTATGTGGTCTTCTTTGAATTTAATAAATTCACATGTCCGCCATTTGTAATAATTCATCTCTCACCTGAGTTGCAACTGTTTCTCCGCAAGAGCGCTAGTATCGCTAACTAAGCACGACTCGATAAAAAGTATATATTTTTAATTAGATAAAATCAAAATTAATTTTTATTGAATTTTTTTAATGTAATGAAGAATAAAACATAAATGTTTTATATTAAGAGTTCATTCTCTGTGAGTGTTTTCACTCAAAAATCAGAAACATATAACCTAAATTTTTAAAATATTAAATAAATTGAAAAAATATGCTGTTAAATGCAAAAATCGTGATATTTTGTTGAATATATAAAAGACCTGAAATTCTTTTTTTTTTTTTTTGAATGAGTTTATTTTTTAAATAAACATTAGTCATAGATGTCGAGTATATTTTTTATGTTTAGACAATGCGTTTTAAGATTTTTTTTACATTAAAGTTATACCAAATATATGTTTACTATTTTTTCAAAATATTTTCATTCGCTATTGTATACATGAGATACTTCCGCAAAAATTCATACTGCAGAAATTAGATTCGCTTTGTTTACTCGTATTTCTGAAATACTGCATTGGCTTAAAAATAAAATTGTTCGCGCATATTCAGCAGGAAAAAAGATGTTGAATTAAAGGCGATAATTAGATTATACATTTCATTATATGAGCCAATGCAACAATGAGAGTTTTCTGTTAATTATATTAATATACTGGAAATTTTCTAATAAAAACTTGTTTGTTGATTGTATACAACTACTTTTCTCCTGCTGCATGGAGAAAAAATCTGCTACAATAATTAACTAATCAGTTAAAAATATAGTGATATCACATGTTTTTTTTTAAATTTATGAATTTTAATAATGATAGAAAAATAATTTGTTGCATAATAATATTCTTACAATTATTGCATATTTATTTTTACAGCAATAGAAATAAGTAAATTTATAAAAAAAATTTGTAACATTGATGGAAATTATAACTGTGATTTTTCAATAATCATAGCAGATTTATTTTCCTTGTGTCGATTCAATTTTATATATACACGGAAAGAAAAAGTGTTAAAAAAATTTGTTTGGTACTGTTTTAAAAAATAATATCAATTGACTAATTTTTAGTATTTGTTAGAGTTTTAAAATTCATTTTAAGATTTTTTGAAGACAAATATTAAAAATTAGTCAATTGATATTATTTTTTAAAACAATATTAAAATATTTTTATCACTTTTTTTTTGCCATACGTACGTTATTAGAAAAAAATATAAAAATACTAATTACATAATGAGACATTATTTTATACTTTATGAATTTAGTAATAAGTATTTCTAAATGTCATCTTCATCATCGGAAAAATATTTCCGATTTTATCAAATAATTAGAAAATTATAAATACAATTAGTGCGTAGAATTACGTAAAAAAAATTTTTTTTTTCTAATGATTAATGCGGTCCGTTTCCGACTGATGTATAAGAATTCTTGTCACTTCTTATCATTTTAATTCAAGATATTAAATTTTTCTTGGTTTTTCCATTTTTTCTCTCTTTTTTTTTATATCAATGAGAAATTCAGTATAGTCGGCTACCGCTTCAGTCCTTTATCACAGTATAGGATTGACGATACAATCGTCAAAAAGTCATTCGTACCATGTGCGTTTAACTGTATATATTCGGAATTGGAATAGGAAACTCGCAGTTTCTGCAAAATTTCTAAAAAACAAAAATTGTTAATATTTGTTTTAAAATTTTTCTAAATAATGTTTCTCTTTTATTTTACAATTAACTTATTGATTCAAAAAAGATTAATGTAATAATTGCACTGAAAAATATTCGATTACTTATGACTATCGAATAAATATTTTTTTTGAAAAAATAAGTTCAAATTTAGTTTATTTGATTCATATAAATGTTATTTGGTTCAGGGAAATATTTATTTATCACTTATAATTCAAGTAACGAATTACAATCGAACCTGGATATAAGCAATTTTTTTACAGCATTAAAAAACGACGTTTATATATATAAAATAAAAAAATGACATTTCATAATAATTTATAAGTAAATTTAATTAGTTGAAAAATATTTCATTAAATGTTTATTACTATACTTTTAAATAAATAAATTTCAAACAGTATTAAAAAGAAAATATTTCAAAAGTTATTTCATGGAATATTGTTGAGTTAAATATGCAAAAAAAAAATTTTTTTGATTTAGAATAATTCTTATGATTTGAATTTATAATTTTTAAAAACTCTCACTCAAAAATAAATTTTTAAAAATTACTCCATATTGAATATGTTTTGTTTATATTAATATTTGTAACTTTTGTTTTTTGAGACTTGCTTATGCAGGTTCGAATGTATTTGATTCAGATGAATTGTTTCAAGTCTTATATTAAAAAAATATTTAGCTTAATTTTTTTTTAAATTCGAATGTTAGATTTTGCAAAATTTTTATTATTGTTTTATAATTTTATTATATATTTACATTTACTATTCAACTTACCACAGGAAAGTCTTCTTTATAATCATTTCTCATGTCCAGTCGGTAAAATACCGAGTTACATGTTACTGGTATGTTATCTAATGAATCGTATTGAGGTCTTCTTGGATTCCATCTGTGCCAGGATGGTTCTCTAAGATTAGCTCCTAAATTCAAGATGTCACGATTCCTGTAAGTGACGCGCATTGCTAAAGTTTTCTGAAATTCAATATCAATAAATTATTAATTATAATTATAAAAATTTTTTTTTGAAATAACGCTAAATAATTAGGTTATTTAGCTTCGAGACAAATATATTTTTTCTCTGGGTGTACGCATATTAAAATTTAAAAAACAATTTAAAACATTGTTAAATAATTCTAAACTCTATTATGGCTTATACTGAAGTTTTTGTAAAGTGCTAATTGCACTACTTACATTTTGATTTAGTGAAACAAAATTTATGAGTCATTTATTAAAATTAGTGAACATTTCAACTAATTATTTCTACATATTGAAATTATTGACATTTAATTTATTTTTACTAATATTATAGAAATAGTAAATATATGAAAGGTTTCACTATAATTAGAGAAAAAGGAAAGTTTTACTAATGGGAAATAGATGAAAATTTAGTTTAAAGGAAACATAGGGTAAATGCACTAATTACGGCGCGATTTGAGTCAAAACATCTTCGAAATAGAAAATAATATCGTAATTTTCTATTACGGCGCGTTTGTATCAGTTTCAGTGTGTCAATTACGGTGACAAAAATTACGTGTATTTTGAAAATACTTTGCTCGCCGTAATTGAAGCCAATGTAAGTCTTAAAAATGTTTCAAATTACGGGGAGGGAAAAAATTTAATCTCAAATAGTTAAATTAATAATTGTTTAAATATTTATTAGTAATTGTATCAAACAAAGATTAAAATAATTTTTTAAATCATTTTGCAACAATTATATTAAATATAATAATAATAATAATAATAATAATAATAATAATAGTTATTTTTTATGAACGCGCCATAATTGATGCAGTTACCCTAATGCATTGTAAGAAATTTTTATCTTGGAAAAATTTACTATTGCTAAAATAAAAAATCTTCAAAAACATACCTCTGATAAATCTTTGTTTTGTTTTGACGATTTAATTGAATCAGATGTTGTACTTTTAGTTGAATTAGAATCTGTGCTATATGATAATGTTGTCTTTGATGATGGAGAATATTTATTAAATCCACACGTACTTGTAGTATCGTGATATTCTTGAATTGGAATTTTAATACATAAAGTTTCTGATAATTTTAAACGATTTTTAATCATATTCATTGATTTAATATCAGAATTTGTAACAGCCATAACCACTGATAGTGCCATATTTATTTTTCTTTCTTTTACTTTCCCTTGTTTTATCTATATAAAAATTATTATCAATTAGTTCATTTTTAAAGAATAATTTTTTATTTATATATTTTAATTTTCGATAACATTTTAGGTGTTAACTAAAATTTCTTAGATTATTTTTGAACTTTTGGAAAATTAATTAAAATTTATTTTTTTATATCGTAAGTAAGCAAATTTTACTGAATCAGATTAATGAGTCCCATAGTGTTCCCTTTAATTATTTTTAATTCACGAGAATAATTTATTGTCTCAATTGTAATCTGAATATTTCTTGCTTTAAATCACAATATTATGATAACAGAGTTTCCAACGATTTGAAAACAAAGGTCAAGAAAAAATTAAAGAAAACTGATCATTTATTTTGACTATTATTTCACGAATCTTGTGTTATTTCATAAATATGACGATTAATATTTATCAATTTGATTTAAATTATTTCATGTTATTTATTAATTCACTTCAAGGTATTTTTTTTTAATATTGAAAAAAATTGCATTCTTCTTTTAGTATAAAAGTATATAAACTTTTTTCAATAAATATAAATTTTAAATTTGATAAATTATTAAAATTGTCTTTATTAATTTTAATAGATTACTTACATAAATATTTTATTAGAAGTTTAATTGAAGGCACTTTTGAAAAACCGAACACATGTATTGGCACGTTGTACGAAAACTACTGAAAATTATGAATTATATTCTTTGAACACGTTTCGTATTTTCACAGCAGCGCCACATAGTGTTTAAATTGATCATTTTTGTTGAATAAGCATAATGAAAAAGAAAACTTCCCCAAAAAGATATACTTATTCAGATTTTCATCAAATGTTACATTTTTTAGATTGTAGATTGCTGTTTAATTTCTTCCTCTAGAACAATGCTGATTGTTAGCGTATAATATTTACCTCTTTTTTTTTCTTTATCGTTGGCTCAATTTATTATCGTGTTTTTAATTCCTTCATTAACGATATCTCATATATGTGAAATTCAGATAAGAAATGAATATTGCAAAGAGCCTTGAAAATAAAAGGACGAAAATTCTTTTTAATTAACAATTTTTTAAACACTGCTAATCCAGAATTCTTTGCAATATATATTTGAAATATTTAATTTTTTTTACTTGTTTTTATTTTATTAAAAAAATAATATCGAAAAACTAATTTTATTTAATGAATTTTTAAAGAATAATAATTGTTTATTTTTATTACATAATTAAATCAAAAAAAAGATTTGGAGAAATTCCATTCAAGTGTTCAATTTTTTCTCTTTCAGATGGTGTTTGAAAAATAAAACGTAGTGGTAAATTATTTTCTCTCTTTTCACTAACTTCTATAGCGATTTTTATTAATTTAAAATCATTTCTGGTGTACATTTCTTCATTAATTTTGAGTGTTTCTAATTTTTTTGCTCCTCGCAAAACCTTACACAACGCTTCTACTGTTAACGAACCCTCACTATTAATTTCCAAGTATTTTAAATTAAACATCTTTTCCAATCCTGAACCAGTGATTGATAATTTAATATTTAACCATTCTAATTTTGGTAATAGCGCTATATTTTCAATTCCAATGTCGGTAATTTCATTTAAACCTATCGAATTTGATTACATTTTATATTTATAAAAAAGAAAATCTCACAATATAATAATAATATTAAATATTAGATTTGACAAAAATGATTTTAAATTTTTGAGAAAATATTTTCTTTGATTTCTTTTTTGAATATAAAGGTTTTTCATTATTAAATTTAAATAATATTATACCTATAATGCATACAGAAGAAATTTTATGGCAATTTTGGCCAACATGATAAAAAAAATTATCAGTAATCCATTGATTTGTGACAAGCCACAATTGTTGAAGATTCACAAAAAACTTGATACAATCGGCCTCATTTTTATTTCTCAAAATACAATCTTGAAAAAATAGGGTATTTAAAGTATTGGCACAATTTTTTAATGCTGGTAAGAGGCCAGAAATATCGCAATCAGTCAAATCCAATTCGTATAATTTTTTAAAATTTTTCACAGCCTAATTATCGTTGAATAATAAAAATTAATTGATAATTATTTTAGTACCTAATTATTAAGTAATCAATTAAAGTTATTTTTTTCTAAATTAAACTACTTACAATTCTATGTGAGTAATTACTAAATAATTATAGTGAAAATAAATAATTAAATAATAAAATAAAAAAGAAATTTTGAAAAAATTCTTTATGAATTAAATAACTATATATACTTACTTTTATTAAATAGTCAGCAGATGCTAAACATTTATCCAAAACTATTGATTGTATTGATTCAGGTGATAATTGCAGTAGACAATTGCCAGTCATGTAGCCATAACAAATATCAATATATTTTAATTTTCTGTTTAAAGAAAATAATAAAGCAAAATCATCATCTGAATCTTCGAAACAATTTTCTAATGATAATTCAATTTTTGTTATATTCTGACAACGAAGAGCTAAAATTTTTAATGCTGTCGATGACGATAGAGAAGTGGCATAAATTGAATGCAATTTTTGACAATAAATTGGTAGAATGCGAAGTGATTCTTCATTATATTCACTATTGTTGGAATTTAATCTAACTCGTGTTACATAACGTCCGCATCTTTGTAAAATTTTATTAAATGCTATGATACTTCGTGTTGTATTGTCAGATTTGAAAGAGGAATTTTTTAAATATTTAATTTTGCTCCAGGATTTGTAACTTGCTGAACGAAATTGTTTTGATACTAAAATATGGATGTATTATTTAAATTAATTGAATTTAGAATTTTACACCCATTCTCTAAATTTTAATTATTCTACTAATTTTTAGTCATATTTTACTAAAACTTAGTATAAAAAAATATTACTAATTTTAGTAATATTTTACTAAAAATCAGTGAAAATTTCTACTACTTTGAATAATTAGTGAACGAATTCTCACTATAATTCAAATTTAGAGAGACAGAGAAAAAATACACTTGGCTCAGAGCTAAATAAATTGATTTATTTAAAATTATAAAATAGTAATACCTCTTTCAATTCTGAGCCTATCTGTAATTGGAAGATATTCAAAAATTCGAATGAGACAATCTTCATTTAATTTTTTGATTGGTGGTTCCTCATCTGGTTCTGCTATATTTTCTCGTTTTCTCTTTAAATTAATTCGTTTTTTGTCAGTCTGAAGCCAGGAATATGCTGGTTCCACTGTTAAAGTTCGATTATTCAATTGAATAAAATTTTCATATCCGGCTTTTCTTGCTCTTAAAAACAAAATTATTAATTTTGAGAAAAATTGAATAGTTTTCGTTTTAAAATTTATGTAATTTAGGTTGAATTATAATTGAAATTTAATGCTAAAAATAAAAAAATAATTAATAAATTTTCGCACGATTAAATATATTTTTAATTTTTATTTAGACAGGTGAAAAAAATTTTAAACTCAAAAATTAAATTACTGTAAAGCATCCTCAGCAGTGTTGAATGTAATAAAGCAACGAGTGCAATTAGATTTGCAATCTTGTCTTAATAAACATTTGTCAATTTGACCATATTTTGAAAAAAGAAATTTAATATCCCTTTCTTGTGTCTGAAAGTTTGTTTTTATTAATTAATCAAATTTACAATAATTAATTACCATTTTTACTGAAAAACAGTTTAATTTTAATATTTTAACCGTAAAATTTTTTATTTATTTTCAAATAAATTTTTACTAACCTCAGAGGATAAATTACTGACAACAAGCTTTCTAATGGCAATACCATTTTTTCTCGTATATAGATATGGCTCATGTTTAATACTCTCAGCTGTAAAAAATAATATATAATATTTTTTTTAAGATTAATAATATTGAACAATATAATTACTTACAAATTTTAAAACAATCTTGAGAATTATTCATGATTCGACTTCAGAAAATGAGATGAAATTGTAGAATTGAATCATTTCATTTCACAACACTTTTAATTAAATTGATTTTTTTTTTTTTTTTTTTATTTAAGTTTGGTTATATTTACAATAACCTGGAAAAAACGTTAATTAAAATTAATATATTTTTGATGTATCAACTTAATCCTACAAGAAAAAATAACCGTGTCGTAAATTGATTAAAATTTTTTTATATGACAACAGAAACATTGAGTTAATTACATAAATTTTTTAAAACACAAAAAATTTTAATATAAAATTGTCAAAAAAAAAAACCTTTAACTGGAAGTTGTCTTCAATTTACATTCGATGTGTTTATATTTTTAAATATCGTTTATAAACAATAGACAATGGAGATTATTTTACAAGAATTTTTGTCAACGAATGTTTTATTTAATTAGTTATTAATAAATATTTATTTCATTATAGATGAGGCTGAAGTCCGCAACGTTTTCAAAAACGAAAAATTAAAATAGAATTATTTTTTCAAGTCAATTTATCTTTAATTTTGATTTGCACAAACTTTCAAGAAATTAATAGTTTTATATAAAAACCAGCTACTCCCAAATAACTTTAATTTTAAACCAAAGTAATTAATATTGTCTAATTATTTTTTCGTTTTCGTTTTAAAAACGTTGCGGACTTCAGCATGATCATTATAGGGTAACGGCACCAGTGAAGGAACTGACACCAGTGAAAGAACAAATTTCATGTTTTGCATTCTAATTAGTGTAATAAGCAATTTGGTATTATAAATTATATGTTTTTATGTTCCTTATTTAATTTACGTCTTTAGTATCTAAGATACCTAGAGAGTTAACACGTAAATTTTATAAAAAAATTTTTTTAAAAATGTTGTGTTGCAAATTTATCTTCAACAATAAGAACTCTTCTCTGACACGTTATTTCTTTTTTCACATTTAACTAATTTAAACTGCCTTAAATCGTCGGTCTTTTTTAAACTAAATTTATCTTGTGTATTAGAAATACTTCTTTTCATTTAAAAGCTAATAAAATATTAATTTGCCATAAGAAAAGCAAATTCCGTCATTGGGGTTATTTTTTTTTTATTTACTAGTGAAAGAACAGAAATGTTTTTTCACTGGTTCCAATGCAATCCAATGAAGGAACACCTTCAACGAATAGTCTGAAGTCAAACAAAAAAATGACAAAATCAAATAGGTTAACACTGTTAGGTTACAATAATATTGTCAAAATAAATTGCAAGTAGATGATTGATTGTAGGTTATAAATGCATTTTCAATTAAAAATAAGATTCTGCAAACTTAGTTAAAAAATATTCATAATTATCATTAATTTACCTTTATTTTAGTATATTACAAACATTTTATTACTTTATCTTTGTTTTAATATATTTTTTAAATATATTTTAAATATATATTTCACATCGTTCTTTCACTGGATGCAGAAAATTCTTTCATTAGACAATTTGTTCTTTCACTGGTGAAATAGGTATGTTTTACTTATTAATTAAAATTTTAATTAACATCTTATATTTATGAAAATTAAATGTGACCTTCGGATTCTACACTTAATTAGCTATCGAAAAAAAATTGGTAAAAAAATTTTCAATAACTGCATTCAAAAATAATAAATGATAAAAGTATGCATTTCCTTAAATGTTCTTTCACTGGTGCCGTTACCCTAATTAGTAAATATTTATATAAGAAAACAAAAATAGATAAATAATGGTAAATCATTTTTAAAAATTTGTTATCATGTGATATTTACCAACAGTATAAATTTACCTACGGATTACAGTTTAAAGTTTAGGAGTAACTTTCTGTATTACCGACGGTAAATCAGTACATTTCTTACCTGTGAGGAAATTATCCAAAGAGTCAAAAAGGAAATAGTGAGACTAAAATGATTTATATAAATATTAAGCACTAATAGACAATTATTTGTAAAAATTATTAAATACTGTTATTTTGCAGTTTAGGTAATTGTTAAATAGAATAAAAAAAACTGGTAATTTTGATATTGAGTCGAAGGATAAGTTTAAAAAAAAATTACCCATTGCGTAGATAAGTATGAATTGTTGATAAAGTAGATTTCTCAATTAAATTTCTGTTTTAAACATTATATTGTTTAAATACTTGTCAAAGTTGAGAAACTAAATTATTAATAAAAACAAATAGCTATTTTCGAATTAATATTGAAAATTAAAGAGTTTTTTAAATACAGTTCTTTCATCGATCGTTCTTCTTTGCGCAAGTAGTTCAGTTATCAATTGTAAGAGGGCTAAGATCGCATCGTAGTATGTTGAACTTTGTAAAATTATTGATCATTATATAACAAAATAATGTCTTTATTTCATTTTGAAATTATGTTTTTTATTATTTCAACATTGAAGGACAATTAATTCGGGAAAAAAAATGAAGATATTATGAATGTTTTCAGTAAAATATAAATTTGAAAATTGGACCTTTCTCGCAATTGGTGACAAATAGTACACTTTTAGTATATAAGGGCAGAGAGAATGAGATGAAGCAAGGATGGTCCGCTACTACTCAGGAACTCTGGCGTCTTGACGGCAGGGATGTGACAACCGCTCGCAGCAAGGAGGACGAGGAGGATGGTTGGAGTTTTGCAGGCAGTGGATGTTCATGATCTTCTTCTGGTAGCAGTCATAGCTCTGGTGTTGTGAATTCAAAAGACGTTGGTCACGTATAAAGTGTGACGTGCCACGTCAGATATTGATGAATACGATGCTATGTGTGTCAAATCGTTGAGAGTAAAATGGGTTGTGTTAGTGTGTCCACACCCGGAACTCAAAGCAAAAAAGTCGTTCTGTCGATAATTCGTGTGTTGGGTCGCCACGAAGACGAGCGCAAACTGAGGACTCCTGTCATGGAAGAAATCGAAAAAATCCAGTGTCTTAGCACCGGAATTAGAAAGATGGGACACTTGCATAACAACGGCCTAAATCTTCTGAGAACTTGCTGCGACGGTTGTCATTTGGGAATTAAGTTCCCTTCACTGTGGTAGTGACAATCGACCATCCTTTTTTTGTTTTCTTTTTTTTGTTTTTTTTTTAAACATTTTTTATTAATCATTACCCAAATATTGTGAAGAAAATATTTATATAAACTTTTTAAATGTATCTTTCATTTAAGGGAACATTGTTAAAAAGTTTTAAAAATTCGTAAGCTTAAAAAAAATTATAATTAATTACAATTTAAAATTATGTTATATATTAATTATTAAGGAAATATATTAAGAATTTTTTTTATATAATTTTTAATTTTCCAACTGTTCATACACTTAATTTTTGTTCTTATTTTTTAAATATTACAAATTTTAAACCTAATTACAAATTTTATAGAAATTTTATTTCTTAATTTTTTAATATTAGAAGCTTCTGTTATTTATAAAGTTAGTTTTGTTTTGGAAACACTAAATTTTTAATATTTTTTTTTTTTTTTTTTTTAAATTTGTAATCGAATTATTTTTTACATATTTCATTTATTTAAATCAGGGTCAGAATTAAGATGTAAAAATTTGGGTTTAAAAAGTTTTAAGAAAATCAAGATAAACATAAGAATCAACGGTAATTTCAATAGATTTCCGTGTCCTTTTTTGCTTAATGAAAATAATATAGTCGTAAGTAATTATAGGAATTTATTAAAAAGAAAAAACATTGTTCACTTCATGATTTAGCCATTTTATTTATGTAATTTACATATAATATTGGTTTTCAAATTATGTGCAAAGTTTGCGTCCTGTAAAAGAAAACAAAAATTGTTTATATATTATATGTTAAAAAATAATATTTTTTTATTAGGATACTCAGACTTACGTCTTCTTCTTTTACATATTTTACTGCAACAATCTTCATTTTTTGTACAATGCTTATTAGATTCTACACATTGACCAACAATTTCTGGCACCAATAAACTTACACACAAAAGTGCAAAAATTGCAAATATTGAAAAATGCATTTTTTTCAATTAATAAATAAAAAAATCGCGTTTTTATATAGTCAGTAAGAGGTCGAATAAAACTGTAAAAATATTATTATAACAATGTTTTTAAATCAAACAAAATGCATAACGGCTATTGTTGCTTAAATAAGTATACTATAGATATATATTTTATAAAATTATTAAACAATTTACAATGAAACAAGGAAAATTAGTAAGGAAAAAGATTATAAAAATGTTGTTACTTTTATTTTATTTTTTCAATCATAATTTAATAAAATTTTTATTTTATTTACTTAAATTGATAAAAGACCTTTTGTTCGATTTAAAAACACTATTGAAATTGGATTCTTAGTATTTTATTCTTTCAAATTTTTCTTATTTATTATCTTACTTAAATCTACAGTTTCAATAAAAAATTTTTTTATTTTAAAGTAAAAAAAAAATTGTTTATTGTGTGCAGCACCAGTATATTTCCTACTTGGTATTTATAGAAAAAAAGTTTCAATTTTATAATATAATTTTTATTATTATTTATAAATTTATTATATTATATATACATTTTTTTATATAATGATTATTACAGATAATTAGAACATTTTAACTTATAATAATTATTTTTTTCATTATTTTTTCATTATTCATTATTATTTATTATATATTATTATTCATTAATTTATTATTATTAATTTGTTTTTATTATTAATTATTAAATTGTTATATTTTTTTTATCTGTAAACAATATAAAAATAGTTTAATTTTTTAAAAAATTTTCAATTTGATTTTAATTTTTAATTTAAGTTTAAAGTTTAAAACATTACAAAGTTTTTTATTAGGTTTTATTTTTTCAAAATTTTTAAATATTTTTTAATTGCTTAATACTTTTTAAAATATAATTACTAATTTTCAGTTAATTTAATTTTCTTTTTGATTACATAATTTTTTAATATTTATTAATTATCAATTAATTAAATTTTTCGAAAAAAAATATAAATTTAAAATTTTCATTTGCAACGAAATATTTATAATATGTATAATCTCTACCTTTTCGTATACAGTATACATAAGTGACAAAGAACATTTTTCATAATTATAATAAAATTACTACCTTATCGGCAGTACATAATATTACATATCATAAAATTTATGATAAATATTTAAATTTCTGTACGATAACATTAAGTGCTGATAGTTAATTTGTAAAAACATCAGTTTCTTAAAAAATAGTTATTTTTATAAATAATATCAA